TTTAGATATATCGTTTAAATAACAATAATTATCTTTAAAACTTCATTAAATGCCGTTTTATTGTTAAAAAACCATTTTTACAACATAAAAATTTTGGGCCGCTAGGCCGCTAGGCCGCTGGGCCGCCAACTTCACAAAAATGACAAAATTAAAATAATTTCTGAAAGTGATTTTTTCTTTAGATATATCGTTTAAATAACAATAATTATCTTTAAAACTTCATTAAATGCCGTTTTATTGTTAAAAAAAACATTTTTACAACATAAAAATTTTGGGCCGCTAGGCCGCTAGGCCGCTGGGCCGCCAACTTCACAAAAATGACAAAATTAAAATAATTTCTGAAAGTGATTTTTTCTTTAGATATATCGTTTAAATAACAATAATTATCTTTAAAACTTCATTAAATGCCGTTTTATTGTTAAAAAAAAAATTTTTACAACATAAAAATTTTGGGCCGCTAGGCCGCTAGGCCGCTGGGCCGCCAACTTCACAAAAATGACAAAATTAAAATAGTTTCTTAAAGTGATTTTTTCTTTAGATATATCGTTTAAATAACAATAATTATCTTTAAAACTTCATTAAATGCCGTTTTATTGTTAAAAAAAACATTTTACAACATAAAAATTTTGGGCCGCTAGGCCGCTAGGCCGCTGGGCCGCCAACTTCACAAAAATGACAAAATTAAAATAATTTCTGAAAGTGATTTTTTCTTTAGATATATCGTTTAAATAACAATAATTATCTTTAAAACTTCATTAAATGCCGTTTTATTGTTAAAAAAAAACATTTTTACAACATAAAAAAATTGGGCCGCTAGGCCGCCAGGCCGCTGGGCCGCCAACTTCACAAAAATGACAAAATTAAAATAGTTTCTGAAAGTGATTTTTTCTTTAGATATATCGTTTAAATAACAATAATTATCTTTAAAACTTCATTAAATGCCGTTTTATTGTTAAAAAAAACATTTTTACAACATAAAAAAATTGGGCCGCTAGGCCGCCAGGCCGCCAACTTCACAAAAATGACAAAATTAAAATAGTTTCTGAAAGTGAGTTTTTCTTTAGATATATCGTTTAAATAACAATAATTATCTTTAAAACTTCATTAAATGCCGTTTTATTGTTAAAAAAACATTTTTACAACATAAAAATTTTGGGCCGCTAGGCCGCTAGGCCGCTGGGCCGCCAACTTCACAAAAATGACAAAATTAAAATAATTTCTGAAAGTGATTTTTTCTTTAGATATATCGTTTAAATAACAATAATTATCTTTAAAACTTCATTAAATGCCGTTTTATTGTTAAAAAAACATTTTTACAACATAAAAATTTTGGGCCGCTAGGCCGCTGGGCCGCCAACTTCACAAAAATGACAAAATTAAAATAATTTCTGAAAGTGATTTTTTCTTTAGATATATCGTTTAAATAACAATAATTATCTTTAAAACTTCATTAAATGCCGTTTTATTGTTAAAAAAACATTTTTACAACATAAAAATTTTGGGCCGCTAGGCCGCTAGGCCGCTGGGCCGCCAACTTCACAAAAATGACAAAATTAAAATAATTTCTGAAAGTGATTTTTTCTTTAGATATATCGTTTAAATAACAATAATTATCTTTAAAACTTCATTAAATGCCGTTTTATTGTTAAAAAAACATTTTTACAACATTAAAATTTTTGGCCGCTAGGCCGCCAGGCCGCTAGGCCGCCAACTTCACGCCGCTAGGCCGCCAGGCCGCTAACTTCACGCCGCCGGGCCGCCAGGCCGCTAGGCCGCCAACTTCACACATCTCACGTTATCAAACAGTAAGGCTAATAAGTCGCAATTCTGCAACTTTTATTTCCGCCCTTCCGCCATTTACACTAAGCCACAATTCTGACAATTATAAAATTTCAATTCAAAGTAAATCATTTTTTCTGCGAAAACCAAATTTGCCAATATCTTGCTCGAAGTATACAGAAATTTCAAGAAGGCTAGTGCACATTTTCTTTTTGGAATGAGTGTATTTTTGAGATCATATTTATGAAGACATAAATATATAACAACGATTAACAAACCGTCCTCTTTAATTTCCAGGAAAATTTATTCTCGGTCTCGAATATTAAGAACATATAGTATACATGTATTACTTTTATTTAAGATGTGACGAAACATGTAATATTTAATCACATTGAACTAAGATATGACTCTCTTAAAATTTATTGCACATGTAACATGAGAAGACCACAGCAGACGACAAAATGATGAATATGTTTTTCTTCAACACTACATGACGAAAAGTCAAATGTAATTATACAAAAGACTATTTTCATCAAATTGTTGGAATTGACCACGCATACTTTGGCTTGTAGCCTTAAACTATTACATTGGGATCATCCGCTCTAAGATTATTCATATGTATGTATTTAATCAAATCATACAATCATAATGGTAACTGTAGTCCAACTGGCGCTCTCACTCAACAGCGGACATGTTGCGTGCAGTTTTAAGAATTCATCTTTTTATCTGTAAGAGTGAATTAAAGGGTTGAAAAACTATAAAATTTATCAGATTTGATATTTATATATTCATCATACAAAAGTAATTTATAAGAAAAATCAGTTAAAACGTGTATAATATGTTATATAAAAGTAAGTGTTTTTCTAAGTTACAAAAAAATATGTTCATTTTATTATATTTGGGTATAAAATATCTGATACAAAACTTTAGAATCAATCAGTTAATTTTACTCCCCTTTTATTATTATCGATATAGCCGAGTTTTCAATACACTTTTTTATATACAAATGTAACAAAAAAACACGCAATTCGATTTAACTACAAGCCATTGACCTTTCAGGGTGCATATCATATGAGCAAATAATCTTCATTGTGGGATATTGTATCGAAAAGAAAATGAACATGTTTGAAAAGAGTAATTAGGTAAGTATGTACTAACTTTATGGTTGTTTTCATGAGGTTTGTATACAGACATTCGGAGCTTCCAACCACCTCAAACCAAACACGCGAATGAATGAATAATACATGAAGGTACGTCGTGTTAAATCATGGTATGACGACACGTGAACTATTATAAGCTAAACCTTGCCTGTACTCCTTGCAAATATCAAAATAGAAAAAAACTGAAATCCCTAAAGAAAACCCAAACTCAGCAAAATTGAAAATGTTGCAGGCTCGGTGCTATTGAGCCTGTTTATAGACGATGCTGAAAAGTGCAAGCTACCATTCACGCCCCTAGCACCGGCTTTAGCAGAATTTAAAACACGAAAATGATGAAATTTTGAATTTAGAAACATCTGCAGATATGTTCATCCTAAAACTATTGGTCTCGCTTTACATACAAATGATGAAACTCCGCAAAATGCCCAGGATATGAAGAGATGTTCATCAAGAAAACTATATAATGTACCAGGTATTTTGAAACGTTTGATCTTATTCCTAAAAAGTACAGGTCTCGCCTTACGGGGACATATAACAATGATGAAACTGAGTGCCACTGTAGTTCGAATTGAACATATCCAACACTGTTGTGGCGCCAAAATGACACCGTGCAGTGCGAGGGACAGACGTACAGTTCTTTTGAATGCTCGTGGTTGGATGCATACAGGTGTTACATAAAGGTATAGATGCTATATGCGTCATATCCCATTAAAACCGGAACCTCATTAACGGAAGTAAGTAAACGTCTATACTGTTAACAAACCATTTCTTTTAAAAAAAAACATTGGGTGATTCATTATGTAAATAAAAAACAGCTAGAAGTGACAGGTCCTTCATACGGTTAAATTATAAAACAAATTACTAGGTTATTATAAGACAGGACAATTATAGGTTCATCAAATTTCCAGACAGTCACTAGACGTAATTCTATCTATGCTATAGGCAAGGAAACAGTTACATTGTCATTCAGGTAAAATGATGATAAATTAACAGAATGATGCCTGGCAAATAGAAATAAATGCATATCAAAAGAATTTTGAAAAGCTTTTAGACAGAGAAATGTTAATTATTGTATGCTAAGATTCAACTCTTGATAAAGATTGATATTTTCTTTTATTATATAAACATATATCCATTTATCTCAATTTTGGTATATAAAATAACTTTATACCTGTTGTGTTACAATGCAACGAAAAACAGCGTGAATACTTTTTATTCAAATTTGTATGGGAATTTTGAAAGACGTGCAGATGGTGAAATATAAGTATCGAAATTAAATGCGCGTAAATGTGATATATATAAGAAAGAGGAATGTAAGTTTACGTTACAATATACGACTTAGAAATCTGACGATTTTATTCAAACCATCAGACGACAAACAACGAAACATCCAGTTCATTTATAAATATATATATAGACATATATATTTTAGAATAACAATATGTAATATCATACAAAATAAAAAACAATTCTGCTCTATACAGATGAAACAAAATATTTTTGTTTATGCACTTGTCCATTATCAGTGTATCAGGAGCTTTCTTCAATATTGTTTGTTGTAGAAACTTTTTATTCCAGTACAAGTGTCAACTAGGTTTTACACAATCTGCAGATTCATACGAAATATGCATTGTATCGTTCAGAGACCTCTTTGTCCTGTTAGTTTAGGTTGTTGGCTTAACTTTAATCATCTGCCCATCACCGCCCTTTATGTTCAAATCCCACCAGGGACCGCTGTAACAGACGGATACCTGCGGTCTTCCTTCACCAATAACAATGGGTAGTCGACTTTACTTTAATTAAATCAAACCGGAAACAAAAACCAAATACAGCATAACGTATCCAGATGAATGACCTATTACCATGCGCATAAAATGGCGGTATTTGGATCAACATTTATATACATGTTTATATTGAACAGCTATATAATTTCTGTATAATACTTTATTACATTCTATTAATGGTAATATATAATTACACGTGGTAGCATTGTATAACTATGGTTGTATTTATGCGGGTTTTCCTTTGCAGTGCGGAAGTCGGTAGCAGAGAATACCTAACCTGTAGAACAATAACATCAAAGTTACAATGTTCTTCAACAAGAAGAATATCAGACTGTATGTAATCAGGTTCACCTCTATAATGATGTATAGCCTCACTACAAGGAAAGGTAAATCTTGTAGGAAGATACTCATACATGTTACCACAATCTCAATGAACTTGTCCCCACAATGCCTTGTTAGGAACTCAACATTCGGGGAACGTGCCCTACGAAATCGTTTCTTCTGCATAAATATAGGAATGAACTGAATGAAACTCGCTGACCAAACAGCCAATATAACGTAGGTAAGCTTCAAATTACTTCGAACATCTTCTTCGTCGAAAACTGCCAGCAATTCCATTATGTCAGATGCAATAGCCAGGAACTCTAGCAATAAATCGGCTAGGAAATCTCGCGAGACTTCACCACGTGGAAGCAGCCATCGACTGAAGACAAGCAGGTATACAAGCGATTCCTCAACTATGATAACCCATACATCATTGTTTAATGTGCCGAATACAGGCTGTGAATAAACACAATCATTTTAAAGTACTTAAAATAAAACTGTTTGGTAGAAATGGTAAAGTTGCATGGTAAGGAGTGATGAAATACCGGGTATTGAGTATTTCGAGTAAAAATATAAACCACATACAAGGTGTATTTTTTTAAACACAATATGAAATTTTGAATATAAAATACGGCCTTGAATAATCAAAATCATATTAAATATAGCTGAAAAATACCAGTCATTGTAAAAGATATAGCTAGATATGTACGGACATGCTGTAAATAAAATATTAGCAATTCTGATCAAATTTAGGCGAATCATTTGATTTGATATTTATATTTTCATCATACAAAAGTTATTTATAAAAAAAATCAATTAAAACGTGTATAACATGTTATAAAAGTAAGTGTTTTTCTAAATTACAAAAATTTATGTTCATTTTATTACATTCGGGTATAAAATATCTGATACAAAACTTAAAGAATCAATCAATTAATTTTACTCCCCTTTTATTTTTATCGATATCTAAAGCCGAGTTTTCAATACACCTTTGTATATACAAATGTAACACAAAAAATCGCAATTTGATTTATCTACATGTCATTGACCTTTCAAGTTTATTTGGTTGCCGTATATATCATATGAGCATATATTCTTAATTATTGATATTGTATCGAAAAGAAAATGAACATGTTTGGAAAGAGTAATTAGTTTAGTATGTGCTAACTTTATGGTTGTTCTCATGAGGTTTGCCATGTATCTAATATGATACAGACATTCGGAGCTTCCAACCTACTCAATCTAAACACGCGAGTGAATAAATAATGATGAAGGTACGTCGTGTTATATCAGGGTATGACGAGACGTTAAGACAACTTTTATACACCAGCTTACTGTACTGCTTGGAAATACAAAATAGAAAAAAAAACGAATCCCTAAAGAAAACCCAAACACGGCAAAATTGAAAATGTTGCAGGCTTGGTTCGATTGGCAGAATTCATCATTTAAACACAAATTTAGAAACATCCGCAGATGTGTTCATCCTAAAACTACGAATCTCGCTTTACAAGGACATATACCAATGATGAAACTCCGCAAAATGCCCAGGATATGAAGAGTTGTTCTTCAAGTAAATTACATAATGTACCAGGCATTTGGAAACTTTGATCTTACTCCTTTAAAATATTTAACCCAAAGTACTGGTTTCGCCTACGGGGACATATACAAATTATGAAACTGAGTGCTACTGTAGTTCGAACTGAACATATCCAACATGGTTGTGGCGCCAAAATGACACCGTGCTGTGCGGAGGACAAATGTAAAGTTCGTTGTTGGATGCATACAGATGTTACATAAAGGTATGGATGCTATATACGTCATATCCCATTAAAACCGGAAGCTCATTTAACGGAAGTAAGTAAATGTTTATACTGTCTCATCACATAAATAACAAACCATTTCTTTTATAAAAAAATTGGGTGATTCATTATGTAAAAAAAAGACACAGCTAGAAGTGACAGGTCCGTCATACGGTTAAATTATCAAACAAATTACTTGGTTATTATAAGACAGGACAATTATAGGTTCATCAAATTTCCAGACAGTCATTAGACGTAATTCTATCTATACTATAGGCAAGGAAACAGTTACATTGTCATTCAGTTAAAATGATGATAAATAAGTTCCCAAATATAGACTAAACAGAATGCTGTCTGGCAAATAGAAATAAATGCATATCTAAACAATTTTGAAAAGCTTTTGGAGAGAAAAATGTTAATAATTGTATGTTAAGATTCAGCTCTTGATAAAGATTGATATTTTCTTTTTTATATAAACTTATATCCATTTATCTCAATTTTGGTGTATAAAATAACTCTCTACCTGTTGTGTTACAATGCAACGAAAACAGCGTGAATACTTTTTATTCAAATTTGTATGGGAATTTTGAAAGACGTGCAGATGGTGAAATATAAGTATCGAAATTAAATGCGCGTAAATATAATGTACGTAAGAAAGAGGAATGTAAACATTGCAATATACGAATTAGAAATCTGACGATTTTATTCAAACCATCAGACGACAAACAACGAAACATCAGTTCATTTATAAATATAGACATATATATTTTAGAATAACAATGTAATACCATACAAAATAAAAAAAAAACAATTCTGCTCTATACAGATGAAATAAAATATTTTTGTTTATGCACTTGTCCATTATCAGTGTATCAGGAGCTTTCTTCAATATTGTTTGTTGTAGAAACTTTTTATTCCAGTACAAGTATCAACAGTCCAGCTATATGTAGGTTTTACCCAATCTGCAGATTCATACGAAATATGCATTGTATCGTTCAGAGACCTCTTTGTCCTGTTAGCTTACGTTGATGGCTTAACTTTCATCATCTGTCCATCACCGCTCCTGTATGTTCAAATCCCACCAGGGACCGCTGTAACAGACGGATACCTGCGGTCTTCCTTCACCAATAACAATGGGTAGTCGAGTCACTTTTTGTCGACTTTACTTTAATTAAATCAAACCGGAAACAAAAACCAAATACAGCATAACGTATCCAGATGAATGACCTATTCCCATGCGCATAAAATGGCGGTATTTGGATCAACAGTTACATGTTTATATTGAACAGCTATATAATTTCAGTATAATACTTAATTACATTCTATTAATGGTAATATATAATTACATGTGGTAACATTGTATAACTATGGTTGTATTTATGCGGGTTTTCCTTTGCAGTGCGGAAGTCGGTAGCAGAGAATACCTAACCTGTAGAACAATAACATCAAAGTTACAATGTTCTTCAACAAGAAGAATATCAGACTGTATGTAATCAGGTTCACCTCTATAATGATGTATAACCTCACTACAAGGAAAGGTAAATCTTGTAGGAAGATACTCATACATGTTACCACAATCTCAATGAACTTGTCCCCACAATGCCTTGTTAGGAACTCAACATTCGGGGAACGTGCCCTACGAAATCGTTTCTTCTGCATAAATATAGGAATGAACTGAATGAAACTCGCTGACCAACAGCCAATATAACGTAGGTAAGCTTCAAATTACTTCGAACATCTTCTTCGTCGAAAACTGCCAGCAATTCCATTATGTCAGATGCAATAGCCAGGAACTCTAGCAATAAATCGGCTAGGAAATCTCGCGAGACTTCACCACGTGGAAGCAGCCATCGACTGAAGACAAGCAGGTATACAAGCGATTCCTCAACTATGATAACCCATACATCATTGTTTAATGTGCCGAATACAGGCTGTGAATAAACACAATCATTTTAAAGTACTTAAAATAAAACTGTTTGGTAGAAATGGTAAAGTTGCATGGTAAGGAGTGATGATATACCGGGTATTGAGTATTTCGAGTAAAAATATAAACCACATACAAGGTGTATTTTTTTAAACACAATATGAAATTTTGAATATAAAATACGGCCTTGAATAATCAAAATCATATTAAATATAGCTGAAAAATACCAGTCATTGTAAAAGATATAGCTAGATATGTACGGACATGCTGTAAATAAAATATTAGCAATTCTGATCAAATTTAGGCGAATCATTAAGTAAGAGACACTTCAAAGAATGCAAGTACAATGTACCGGTATTTTCAAGTACAGTAATTATAATGGTACTATAATTATCATAACATGTGAGTGTACAATTCCTGTCTAAAATGTATTTACCTCATCAGGGACTGGTGTTGTTGTAATAGTTGTATTAATCGTGGTAAAATTCAACATGTCTGTGACAAATGTTGTATTCTGTATTGGCACATCCGTACCATTAACTGTCACGTTCGTAACAGGTGTAGAGCTTGTGGCGGTTACAGGTAGAGGAGTGACAGTTGTTGTCCACTTGCTGGGATTCTTGAAACGGTCGTATTGGTTCAATTGCAGAAGCCATATAGCAGGTATAGTAGAGGCAAGGTATATAAGGAAACATGGAGTCCACCTGCGTCAACATAAATCATTGTACATGTAGTAAACGAACACAATAAACAACTTTTGCAGCGAGAATTCATTTTGTCTGCAATCCTTATAAATTTTGTTACAAAAGTTAAAAAAAGGGTTTGAGAGAGGTCGGACCGAAAGCGCTACATGTACGTACCAGATTGTATATAACAGATTCAAATGAACATAGTGATTTCATGATTAATTCGATAGCAATGTTGCATTAATGCTGAACTCTAAGATAAAGTAAAGATGTTGGGTAGATCTAATGGTCTACTACAATCGATGTTACTGAATTACCAACAGTGGAAATACAAGTTAAGTTGACATATAATATCGATATTTTATGTTAAATTACTTGAGACTCGTCATGACAAAACCAACATAACGGGTTTGCGACCAGCATGTATCCAGACCAGCCTGCGCATCCGCGCAGTCTGATCAGGGTCCATGCTGTTCGCTTAAAAACCCTATAACAAGTAGAGAAACTGATAGCGAACATCATGGATCCTGATCAGACTGCGCGGATGCGCAGGCTGGTCTGGATCCATGCTGGTCGCAAACCCATTATGTTGGTTTTTCATGACGCGGCTCACTTGGTTTCTTACCACGAGTACTCTAAACCTGCTCGTCTGGTGATAACAACCATGCCTTCTAGTATCAGGAGGAAATTTGCAATCACTAACAGCCAGTACATGTTATCTTCGTAGGAATCTGTGACTCGCCACACCGTTAGTATATTATGTGCAATCAGCAAAAATCGTACAAAGCAAGCGAGTACAATTGGGCCATTTTTACCTTCCAAAAATGCCATGCCGCGTGTGTACTTTTTGTCATCACCATCATCTGCTGTTTCCTCAAAAAATTGCTTCTTTATTCTACCATTTTGAAAAGAGTTAACATGCCGCACGAAAGCTCTCTGTTGTATTCCTGGATATGCACGAGCAATTGGTGTAGCTTTCATTGGAGGTAGACTTGAAGATTTCAGGTGATAATTATTCCATGGATATGCGTCTAATTGATCATCATCAATAACTTCAGTCATGATTGTAAATTCTCCATCTTTTGTTGTTAATGGTTCTCTGATAACATTATAAGCTGTTTGGCTGCTGACTGGTCTACCAATGAACCTGGGTGATGGTACATTGTTCTGTAACCATTCACTCGCAGAGACGCTAGCTGGCCTGGATGATTGCACAGTGTACGCTAACTTTTCACTCACAGGACTGCTAATTGGCCGGTATGATTGCACAGTGTACGGTAACCGTTCACTCACAGGTCTGCTAATAGGCCGGTATGATTGCGGTAACCATGCATGTTCACCTTCATTGACAATTTGTGTAACAACATAACTGTTACTCCCAGTGTCTCTATTATTTTCTGATGACTGTTCATCCATTTTAAAAAGTAAAATATCCTAATTTCAAATCACTTTATTTTTATTTCGAAAGTTTTCACTTAAATCGAGGTAAACCGGATTACCGCGACTTTATATGTGTTATATTTGAGCTTTACCCAATCAACAGTCCTGAAAAGATTTTAAAATATGAAATATAATATGTCGTGCACTGTTGATCGCATTAACAATTTTGAAACATTTTAGAAATTTATGTTCCATCATAATGAAGCTGAAAGAATCATTATTATCCTATTGAAGAGAAACTAATGGGAGTGTCAAACTTTATAACAAGTTTCATCACAAGCATAAAGTAACCTTTTCATACCAATACAAAAAACAAGATTAAAAATAAAATAACTAAAAAAAACGTCAATGTTAAAACTTTGGTTATACTATAATGGTGATGAAAACATCCTGTTCACATAATAGACAAAAAATGTAGAAATTTAACAAACGTTTTTTTTTAGAAATTCATTAATAATGATTCACACTTTTAGAAAAACTGGATGACAGTTGTCCCGTCGTACACTTTAATATATATTTCCTGAGAATCTGCATTACATCATGTATAATATATTCATATTCATTACATAATTACAGGTGACAATTTAAACAATGCTCTTTTAAACTTCATTTAAAGACCCGTTATGTCCCCCAAAACACTATTTTTTCGCAAATGCGTTTTATTTTTGGAGTTTTTTTCTCCAAAGAGTTACTCATCTTTTGCGTACTTTGCTTTTCGACAATAAGTACAGTTATGACGATTAAGTATTTTGTATGGAAGTCAAAATACTAATTGCTTTACACTTTGCTACCTTTAATTCTTTTATGACAAATCATTTCACATTCAGCACTAGTTTTTCAGTTGATTTGCATCTGACGTGCTCTCAAATAATTATGTTTGCCCTATCTAAAGAATGAAACACTTACTCGTTTCTGGGAGATAATGTGCCTTAAACCGCACTGTATAACCAGGTTTACAATGCTTGTGAAAGCCTTATTTAATCGTGCTTGGATGTTCTTTTAAGTTTAATTCACTTGTGCGAAGACAATGTTATTTTAAGCTTAATTTAGATGTGCTGTGTTAAAAAATGTTTTTTAATTTTAATATAAAAATGTTCACAGTGCTCGTGTTAGCTCTGACAATGTACATTTGTTAACAATTAGTGCTTAATTTAACCATGCTCTGTACAAGTTTTGCCAAAAGCAGGCCCAGTAGTCTTATCGTAGCGCTTTTTGACTATTTAGCCAGAGCCCCGAGTTCGAATCACCGCTTCTTTTTCTTAAATTATGAACACTTCTTTTGGGAGAGACTTTGAAAACAGAAGTCTCTACACTCTACACAGGTTTTGCCATAAAGAAAGCGATGAACTGAAGCCTGTATTTTGCTTGTTAAGACGTTCCAGTTATTTTATAGTTAAGCATGAAACCATGACGATGTACTCCGATGACACAGAATGTTTCTTTTTATCAAACACTTAAACACAATTTCTTTCATTTACATCACAAAAAGGTACGGAAAGGGCATAAAGTGTAACTAAAGCGTTTTGTACGATATTGCATTTTCAACCTGTTTAATCTAGCTCAGCTGTGAAGAAAGTAATTAGTTAACTTTATTAGTTTAAGACCCAATATTAGTAAACATAGCTTCTATAAAATAAGGAACCGAGAGCTCTTGGTTGACAGATCAAGCATCTAAATCACCCCTTGTATATATGCTTCATAACTCGTCCGGTTAAAGAAAATTTGAGAATTCCATATCCTGGCGTAATACCCAAGTAGTCGGAAAAAAAACTCAGCTAAACCAACTTTTTATTTTTATTTTTAGGTATTGTAATTCATAGTTCATTGGATACAAAACATTAGTTTAATAAACAGAACAGATATTTTTTTGTCAGTTCAGTTCTTTCAGGGAACAATTTGCTTAAGGTACGATGATATGATGTTTTATATTGAATAATTCCAATTACGTGTAATTGCCATTTTTAGAAATATAATGATTTTTTTAAAACTTTTAATAGAATCTAAACATAGCATTTTAGGTCACCCTAGTTTCTTTACCAGAATATGAAATCGCGCCAGTGTAGATTTGAGGAATAAAAAAAGTATCTCATCCCTTGAGGGATTCGAGCCGATGACATTCGGTGCTCTTCCCGTAAACCGCTCTGTCTCCTCGGAATTGAAAAAGAACATTATAAATAAAAAAGTACAGTTCCATACGATGGAGGGATTTCAGAAGCTGAGGCTCCGAGATTAGAAATAAAATTATGACAATGCCAAGCAAACCATCCTAAATGTTATACCTTGGAGTTAATCAGTTTGTGTATAAAACTACAAATTAAAGTGTTCAGGGTAAAATAAACATCTAGAGGAGGACTAGACAGAAGATGTCACCAACCTATCTTTAAAGATAATTAGGCTGGGACTGGATTTGACTGGTATTCCAATACATTATAGTTCTATCTAGAGAAGTAGGAGTTAAAATGATACTGTGTAAGGGACTTGGGAGGGAGCGTTGCCTTAGTTGTTGAGGTGTGGGTCTCTCAACCTAGGGAGCCCTAATCGGGTCACGACCATGTATCTCCATATGACACCAGAACTTGTTGGTTCCAGAAAGCGGACTCGAAAGTTGCAAGAACTTGTTCCGCAATGGATCTATTTAAAATAGAAATGTTTAAACCAATGGGGCTTGGGAGTATCTAGTTGGTACGAGGTGGTTGTGCCCGATATAGACGAGAGTATTCTGTAGTTTGTGAAGGAATATAAGGGATTATTAAAGTCTGTGGTTTTCTATGGTGGACCAACCAATATTATTTAAGATCTGTGTTACACTAAGGAAGTCATTATTATTACAATCATATCTATCCACAGCTCTTTATACCTTTATAGCACACCAGAGCACAACATCAGGTTTAACTTGAACTATGATTAGCTCCATTAATTTAGAGGAGTTGCAAGAAACGGATATTGGTCTGTAATTGCCATATTTAGACTCATTTCCTTTCTTGTATAGTGTGCCGTGGATGCATTTTACGATAATAATCTAGAGATAACCTGGTTATATAAGTCAAATCATTGAAAGTTGTATCATCAAAAAACCAAACAGCGAAATAGCCCTCATCTCCACTTACATGTGTAAGTGGAGATGAGGGCTATTTCGCTGTTTGTTTTTTTGATGATACAACTTTCAATGATTTGATTTTTTTCTGTCAGCTATGAGTATGTATTTATATGATGCTGAATAATTTGATATTTAATCTGGGCCCTGACCTTTACAGGGGTTTAGACCTGAAATGTGTTTGTTGACGCCATCAACCGTATTATTAATAAAGCGCATATTTTACGGGGAGGTTTTTTTAAATTTTGTTTTTATTGTGATTGTGACCTCTTAAAAACTGTTCATTTAGGATATTTGCTTTGTTCTTTAAATCACGATCTGTTAGGCCATTTTAGGCCACAGTATGATACTAACACTAGACAGTCTTTAAAGTTGTGTCATAGTAAAATTTGTTTAACTAGTTCTAGAGAAAAATTGAGCGTTTAATATTTTCCTTACATTAGAATCCATATTTACTTTCATTTACAGTGAAAACTCAATTATAAAAGAGGTCATTTTGGTAATAGTTTAATTGATTTTCTATAAATACCCACGATTGTAATCACGGATTTATATTACATTCGTGTTGTAATTAAGATCCGTGAAATACCGTATACTGGAATTTAGTTTATAAAGAAATAAAGTTGTTTCCCCTTTTTATTGAGACGCCATTTGTGCAACTTGTAGGATACAGGTAAAAATTAACAGGTAAATCATTCAGTACTTTGAATGAGTATTAAATAACTATGCAGTGGAAAAATAATATGAAAAATAAAGCGAGCTCTTTAACAGAATTTTTAATGAACAAATTATTCTAAACAGATTCTAGACCTATCGTTCTATTTGTACAGTTGTATCGATAACAGTATGATAAACATAATAAAAATTTACAATTTACAGTGTTGTAGACCTATTCTGTTTGTGGCTAAGACCTTAAGCAGTTAAGGTAGAACGCGACACTTTGCAAACTTTCGAGTAGCGTCTTGAAAATTGGCTTGCAAAAAGTTGACCATATTTCTGATTAGGTTCCGTTGATTTTATTTCAACAGTTTCAACCAATTTTTGTACACTCGGTCCATCAAAGCCCGTTTTTGAACATGACGTCGTTGCGTATCCTTGGCAACTATTACGGGTATTTCAACGCCATTGGCGGACAAAATATCTTAAATTCTAAAGCATCCGACGTAAATTATTTTTTCCTTTAAGCTTATATAAAATCGATCGTTTTACGCTGAAAAATGTTTGAAAAATGGAAAGAAAATTGTCCATTTTGTGTAAAATTTGACGTTAAGTTTAGCCGTAATTTGCGGCTTTAAGGCTGCTTATTTAAAAATTCCTGAAATAAAGGTAGTGGTGGGGTTTTCTTCAGTAAAACAACAGTATGTAATTTTTACTAGATTTATTCAGGTGTAGAAGAAACCTATAACAAAATAAAAAGATTATAATACAAATTTCAAAGAGAAATATTATACAATAGAAAATTCATGAATTGCATATTTCATAATTACAATAATTACAATATATACATTATAAACATTTCACAATTACAATTAAAATAAATATATACATACCAGGTTTTAAATAGATGAGATCTTCAAAACAATAATTATGAATAATAATAAATCTATCAATATTTCTATAAAGAAATAGTTTATCTTTAGAATGTCAGAGATGTTATTGCCTTGAATGCAATGAAAGGAGTATCAGTTACCAAGAAATATTAGCTATCCCAGAACCAAATCATCTAAAAATAACTTTCATACAAAATCAATCATCCACCACTCAACTTGCAAAACCAGATCAATCACCCATAACAAAAGGAACAAAGACAAACATGAACACATAACACCACAATAGATTTAGTCTGGCCTTTAAGGGAAATTACCATAAACATTCTAAAAAGATGACTTGGCTTAATTTAACCTTATCTACATAAATTTTTGATTTTTTTCTTTAAACATCCTTTAAAATGTATACTTAGTCAAAATAACTAAAAAATTACGGGGTTACTGACTCAAATTTTTCGTAACACGTGATTTTATTTTCCCCACCCCTTGAGTAAGTTTGTAACGAAATTCGACGTTTGCAGATACATTTCCTAGCAGTTTCCTGTCCCAAATCGCACTTTTTAACAAATAAAATAAAAATCTGTCTACAGACTTGTACAAAACTTTGACAGAACAAAGTTAGGTACCTGTCAAGCATAACCATGTTTTCAATGTTGCAGCTTGCTCATATACTTTACTTTTTATTGGAATATATGCCTGAATGTGACACCTTTTCTCACTTTCTGATCAAAATTTCAGAATTCCCCAGGTTCTCTAGGGTAACTTTAAACAACAGGCAAAACTTCAAAATATATAAATTGTTGTACTATTTTAACTATGTTAATAAGAAAACAAATGTGTCTCTGGTTTGATGAAGTAACCTAGATGTCCAACTGGTAAACATAGACTGTACCGGACGGAAATAACAAACGGCCAGAAAACTGCTAGCAAACCAGTACATAACATTTCTAGACCAACACACAGAGAAATACCCCTTTTAGAAATTTATATGCCCTATGAGTGGGGAAGTCAGATAAAAAAATCCTGTTCATATTTTATTTTCATTTTTTGTTTTAATGTGTCATTAACTCATATTGAAATTTTCATGCTCAACTTCCGTATTCAATTGGAAGACCTTTACATTTATACTTAAATCGAAAAGTTGTGATTTTTCTGTTATCAGAATACCCCACTGATTATCATTGATTTATAATTACATTACAACTAGAAATGTCACTGAAAATTTTACTGATACGGGGAAGTTTGTGGTCCCTGGCTTTGGCTTGCCTTGCCATGGACTACACGTAAATATTTAAAGGAATTTAGATAAAAAAAAAAGCAATTAAAATATATATATAATGCTCTCTTTGTGAGCTCAATATAATGCATAACACTATATGTAATGCTGGCTTCATGTGCGAGCCTGCTCCTCGGGCCTGCTGTTACTACAGGGATGACAGGAGGAGCATCCATGGTAAAGTGGTTAAAGTTGTTGACTTCCACCCTTTTTCTCCTCTCACAGTTGTGGAGTCATGTCCTGTCATGGGTTATTTCATATGAGGGAGGTATTTAGCTAGCTTACTGTTTTATGAGGTGCCTGTTTGTGCCTGAAACAATGCATGTTGGTTAACTGGTTTTCAGTTTTAATATTACTGAAAGCACTATAGATAAAACATTACACTTAGTAATATAACTTACTTTTTCCAGTAAAATGTTATTTAAAGATAAAAAAATGAAATAAAGCTACAAATAAAAATTGCTTCCATTAAGTTACAAATTTTTAAGTCTGAGACAACAAAATATCCAATATTGGAAGTCACATGATTTAGGTAAAGAAGGTTGGTAGTCACAAGCCTAAATGACTCCCAAACTTCCATAACAGAAGTCCTGAATGTAGGTGAAAATTTAACTACAGTCAAATGAAAACAGAAAAATGTGTTTTGGCACTGTTGTGTAAGCTTAAAACTTAGGTGCTTGAGGGGTGTGAGGAATGTTGCACATTTTCATTATAACTCATGAATATACTCAAACCACCACTTCCATCAATATTCATGTAATTATTTGTTTTCTTTGCTTCATACGGATATTCCTTTTTGTGATGTTTTTATAAATGTCCTTGTTAAAGTTTTGCATCCCAATTTCACCCTTTGGAAAAATCAGAGAACAGTCATCTTTGTTAAAAAGTATCAAATCCCAATCTATTAATGCACAGTGATGCTACATTAGAGAGTTGTATACACTCAAATGCAGGGCTGCTGACAATCGGTAGCCAATCAGAGCATTGGTTATATAGAATCATGAATTGATTGTTTGTTGCCTACACTGAACAAATTGCTTCATTTTCTGAGGCATGCTTAATTTTAATATTTATACATATTTAAACCAAAATTTTGCATGAATTGTATTTGTTTGTAGGATAATAGTTTAAAAGAATGGTAAAGCTGGATGGTCTGGGATGAAGTACAATGGTAATATTGACCGTACCTGGTTGAAGATATTCCTGTCTGTGTTTTTACTGGCTTATTTCATTAATGAACACCTGGTATACTTCATACAGAGTTATAGATGGCCAACATTTCCTGATATACACAGGTAATTGCTGTTATGAAGCTGTCAATGATATATGTACATGAAGTTGTGATATTTACATTTTGGTTCCTTATTGTTTATTGTAGGGGCTGCTCTTGTTGTGATAGTGATATGTTGTGATACAGAAAAACTGTCTTGTATGAAAAATTTGATCACTGGTACATTACAGAAGTTTTGTTGTATATGGGCTATAGACATGTATTGTACCATTTTGTATTAAACATTGTCATATACACATAAACCCATTACCTGTCCATTTGAAAAGATCTTGATTATTACATTGTATAATATGTTAAGTATTGATTGTTTCTATGATTTATGTTATGGCTAATAGCTAAAGTTTGATGGCATTATAGTTTAAACGATCAAAGCCTGATTCCAAATTGTATCAATTACTGTTTCAGTGATACAACTAAAATGTAGCAATAAAATTACATGTATTTGTGTAGGATGTTGAGTTTTCAGCTGTTATGTTATGTATCAAGAGTAGTAGTTGCACAATTCATCATGAATCGGTGTTTGTGAATGGCAGGGTATTTTATGGTACATTGTATTTCTGTAATTGATTCTATTTAAGAGTGTTATATAGGAAGTATGATTATACATGATGAAATACAGCAAGGGTTTTGAACATGGGGGATACAGAAGTCATTATACCTGCTGCAACTTTTATATTTTGATTGCTTTGTACTAGAACTTAATTAAATATTTAAGTGTGTTTATTTTAACAGGTTGATTAATTTAATTGAATCACAGTCTGATCAGGATCCATGCTGTTGGCTATCAGTTTCTCTACTTGTAATAGGGTTTTTTAGTGAACAGCATGGATCCTGATCAGACTGCGCGGATGCACAGCTGGTCTGGATCCATGCTGGTCGCAAATGCATTACGTTGGTTTTGTCATGATGCGGCTCAAATGTTGTTTTATCTACAGGCACCCTGAGAAATACCAGGTGTTGTTGTTAGTAGGGGATCCTCAGATACAAGGGTACCAGGATGAAAATATATTCCCTATAGGTACATTGTCCAGGTGGGATATTGACAGGTAAATTCTTATTTCAGCAGTGTTTCATCTAGAGTCTTTGCTTTAAATATAGCTTACCCTAATAAGTTAAAAGTTGTTAATGATAAAGAACCAGATAGGTTCAAAACCGGTAGATCTTTATTAAAGAATTGTTCATATTTATCTGGTGTTGATGTGTGTTTTCTTTGTTTTTTTCCTTTTTTTTGATTTTTTTGTCCCCCACCTTTTCGAAGAAAGAAAGGGAGATATAGAAATAGGCTCCGTCCATCTGTCTGTCCGCACTCACAGGACAGTAATTATGTGGCTAGAGGGACAATGGGTAACTGTTCTTTCTCTTTGATGTCATTCATTCCGTAATGCTTTTATGTGGCTATTTTCTTATGTGTGTGAACCCAGAGGTACTTGTGTGACTTGGAGAACAATGGGTAACAGTAAATTCTCTTTGATCCTATTCATTCTGTTTTTACTTGTGTGTCTTTTTTTAAGCCTTGTGTGACTAAAAATGGCGAAAAAGATCAAAGGAAAAGTCACATAAGTACCATTTTGTGAGTACGCCCGTCTGTCTGTCCATCCGTCTGTCTGGGCTATTTAAGAGAAGTAGGGGGCCATCTAACTGTAAACAGAACAAAAGAGAACAATAGAGTTCATTCCGTAACAATAGAATAAGGGCCCATGGCCCTCTATTAAACAAAAGAAAATGACAAAAGAAATGGCCCATAGTCTATTTAAGTGGCACGTCCGTCTGTCCGTCCGTCACACTTTCGTGTCCATAACTTTGTCATTTATCAAAGGAATTTGAAAAAACATGGCGCAAATATTTGTTATAATAAGACGATGTGTCATGCACAACAACTAGACCCCTACCTCCAGGGTCAAGGTCGCACTTGCTCATTTAAGGTCAACATTGTCAATTTGAAGGTAAATGTCCGATCCATAACTTTCTTATCTTTGAAGGGATTTTGTAAATACTTGCCACAATTGTTCACAATAATGAGACGATGTGTCATGCGCAACAACCGGTCACCTACCTCCAAGGTCAAGGTCACACTTGGAGGTCAAAGATTAACATAGTCTGTTATAGGGTATATTTTGTGTCCGGTCCATAACTTTTTCATAGATCAAAGGATTTTGAAAATACTTGGCACAAATAGTCACTATAATAAGACAATGTGTCATGCGCAACACCTGCATCCCTACCTCCAAGGTCAAGGTCACACTTAGAGGTCAAAAATTAACATAGTCTGTTATAGGGTATATTTTGTGTCCGATCTAGAACTTCTTCATAGTTCAAGGGATTTTGAAATAACTTGGCACAAATAGTCACAATAATAAGATGATATGTCAAGAACAACACTTGCAGCCCTACCTCCAATGTCAAGGTCACACTTAGTGGGCAAAGGTTAACAGAGTCTGATATATGGTATATTATGTGTCCAGTCCATAACTTCTTCATTGGTCAAGGGATTTTGAAAATACTTGGCACAAATAACCACAATGATAAGATGATATGTCATGCATAACACCTGTGTCGCTACCTCCAAGGTCAAGGTCACACTTAGAGATCAAAGATATACATAGTCTGTTATAGGGTATATTTTATGTCCAGTCCATAACTTTTTCATAGATCAAGGGATTTTAAAAATACTTTGCACAAATAATCACAATAATAAGATGATATGTCAGATGCAAAACATGGGTCCCTACCTCCAAGGTCACACTTAGAGCTCAAAGATTAACATAGTCTGTTATAGGGTATATTTTGTGTCTGATCTATAACTTCTTCATAGTTCAAGGGATTTTGAAAATACATGGCACAAATAGTTACAATAATGAGACGATATGTCATGCACAACACCTGCACCCCTACCTCCAAGGTCAAGGTCAAAGCTTAACATGATAGATTTTTAAATTCTGTGTTTCATTTTATTTCTTTAATAAATTTATTGTTGCATTTGCAGATCAAGTATTGATCATGATTTTGGACCGAAATCTTGAGATCGATACCTAAATCTTTTGAAATAGCACAATTTTATGCTTCATATAAAACTTCCTAAGGTGGGGGACCTTGGTAGCTCTGTTACGAATTCTTGTTTGTATAAACAATACCGCCTGTGAGTGTGTGTGGCATTAATGACTTTCCATGGCCAAGCCAGTCTGTGCACACAATCTATAATCTAACCAGATTCTTATCAATATTAACTCTTGATTATAGCAATAATTACCCTTCATGTGGATACCCTTCATATTCAAACCAAGAAAAGTTCATATTCAAAGCATTAACAATTTAGTGTGTTTAGGATAAAGATATACATGTATATTATGTTTGTTATTTTTAAATCATTATTTTGTTTTATCATACAGATATTTAAGGAAGACATTTTCCTATGCCTATGATTACACGAAGCCTGATGTGATAGTGTTCCTCGGAGATCTATTTGACGAGGGAAGTAAAGCATCAAGATTTGAATACTCTGAAACATTCAATCGTTTTTCATATATCTTCCATGAGACAAAACATACAAAGGTAATTCATGTGTTTCATGGCTGACTGTAGGTATGACAATGTTTGCTATTGAAAGTGATACAAATATTGAAGATGGAAGGAAAAAATGTTGCAACTTATTATTTCACAAATACATGTAGCTTATAGAATTTGTTTAATTCTTCATTAAATTAATAGTTTATTTAGAATAGAGGTGTATTATGAGTAATCCTTTTTATATGCCGAAAGGGCATATTATGTTATACCCCCTGGCGTCCGTCTGTCCGTCCGAGCAAACATTTTGGGTTTAGGGGCTATATAACAGTAAAGAGAACAAAAGAGAACAATAGGTTCATTCCGTGATCAAAGGGTTTAGGGGCTAGTAGCCCTTAAGGAAACAAAGAAAATAACAAAGAAAATAGCCCCTAAAGCCAAAATGTTGGAACGGACGTCCGTACGTCCGTTAGCAATTTGGTTTCCGGAGCATAACTAAAGTTCCATTTGGCACACAATGTTCAAACTTCATAGGATGATTGTCCATATTGGGTAGAAGACCCCTATTGATTTTGGGGTCAAAAGGTCAAAGTCACTATTACCTTAAAATTGAAAACAGTTTCCGGAGCATAACTTAAGTTCCATTCGACCCACAATGTTCAAACTTCATAGGATGATTGTCCATATTGGGTAGAAGACCTCTATTGATTTTGGGGTCACAAGGTCAAAGGTCAAGGTCACTATTACCTTAAAACTGAAAACAGTTTATGGAGCATTACTTAAGTTTCATTTGACCAACAATGTTCAAACTTCATAGGATGATTGTCCATATTGGGTAGAAGACCTCTATTGATTTTGGGGTCACAAGGTCAAAGGTCAAGGTCACTATTACCTTAAAACTGAAAACAGTTTATGGAGCATTACTTAAGTTTCATTTGACCAACAATGTTCAAACTTCATAGGATGATTGTCCATATTGGGTAGAAGACCCCTATTGATTTTGGGGTCACAAGGTGAAAGGTCAAGGTCACTATTACCTTGATACTGAAAACAGTTTCCGGAACATAACTTAAGTTCCATTTGGCCAACAATGTTCAAACTTCATAGGATGATTGTCCATATTGGGTAGAAGACCCGTATTAATTTTGGGGCCAAAAGGTCAAGGGTTAAGGTCACTATATCCTTAAAACTGAAAACAGTTTCCGGAGCATAACTTAAGTTCCATTTGGCCCACAATATTCAAACTTCATTGGATGATTGTCCATATTAGGCAAAAGACCCCTATTGATTTTGGGGTCACTAGGTCAAAGGTCAAGGTCACAATTACCTTAAAACAAAAACAGTTTCTAGAGCATAACGTAAGTTCCATTTGGCCCACTATATTCAAACTTCATAGGATGATTGTCCATATTTGGTAGAAGACCCCTATTGATTTTTGGGTCACAAGGTCAAAGGTCAAAGTCATTTTTACCTTAATACTGGAAACAGTTTCTAGAGCATAATTAAAGTTCCAATTGGCCCACAATATTCAAACTTCTTAGGATGATTGTCCATATAAGGTAGAAAACCCCTATTGATTTTGGGGTCACACGGTCAAAGGTTAAGGTCATTATTAATAACTTAAGTATTAATCAACCTATAGCTGTAAAATTTTATTGGATGAACAGCTAATTCCCATGTCTTACTAATGCTTCATCCTTACTAAAAAAAAAAACACTTTCGGGCATATAATGCTCCGCCTAGCGGTGCTCTTGTTAAAAACTTGGTGTGGAATATTGTTTGAGGTACTAGGAGAACATGTATATGAGTCTGGGTTGTTGATTTCACATTTTCTATATTATTTCATATACTGTTGATTATGTAATGTAAGCCTGTCACATATTAAAACAAGATTTGTGATAGCATATACTAGCAGGTTTGTCCTAATTCTTCTCTGTATTAACCAATTCATTGTATTATTGCCTCTGACTATTGTTTTTATGCCCCAATCATTTAGGGGTAGTGGAAGTAATGTAGAATTTCCTTAGTCTGTCACAATATGCTGTTGTGTGTCAGTCTGAAACAGTGGTATATGGGGGCATCTGTGTACTATGCACGCATTTCTAGTTTTTTTGTGAACTTAAATAAGACTTTTACCTTTATCATGAGAAATATTTTAAACAGACTTGTTATCCATGTTTCAATCTGGATTTGACCAGTCTTTATTTTAGGGAGATACAAATGTATGTACTGACTAAATTAAGCAAACAGTGCAGACCGTGATCAAGATGTGTCTGACAGATCTTGGTCTGCACTGGTCACATGTATATACTTTGCCACATTAACATGCATAGGGTTGAAATTAAATATATTGAGATATAACACTGGCTTGTAACATGTACAGTTTATTTCAAACCATTCAAACTTTACACTGATCAAGTGAAAAAATATTTTACTTTGAAACCTAGTTTTATCACCTAGTTATTTTATTACCATGACAACACAAGATGCTCTGATAACATTATAATATTTCTATGTTACAGTGAATGGGGATGTCTTCTAAATGATTAATTATTTATATAATAGATGTCATTTGCATGTAAATATCTTATATTGTATATTTGTGATAAGTTTTTATGAAGGTTCTCACATAACTGTAGGTCTGTTTTATGTAAATTATTTTTTGTATTTTCTGTTAATGGGTTTTATGTCACTTATTAGGACTTTACTACCCTACTTGCCCATATTTTACCCTGTCTTGGTATTAGGAAATATTTCATGTTTTAAGGGTATGAAAGTGTTAAAGTATGACCAACCAATAGCCTACATACTGATCAGACTGCACAAATGGTTTAACTTCTTTTATTTAGAACAATAATTTTATCAACATATAACTCTCAGAAAAATACCATTTATAGTAAAATATTTATATAAATGAACTCCATACAGAAAATTGTTAATAACTTGGCTACATTTTTGAGAGGAATTTGATTCCTCCACCATGGCCTCAAATAGTTCCCTTTATAGAAATTCACCTAGGACATAACTTCTACAATAATTGAACACTTCTGAAAAGACAAACAGCTATTGAATAAGATTAAAGACATTCTGAACTAACCAGAACCCTTCAAAACTCATTAATATTTTAGATTGAAAAAACCAGGAGCTAAAATACCGGCCGTACCTGATTTTAAGAGAAACATTTGTTACAAAATTACATAAATGAAACAACTACAGAAGAAAATCTCAACTAACATATACATAGATCTATTTAAAACCAGTTACAAACCATCCTGATGTTTGATGTGTATTCTCTCCTTTTCTTGATTTACTTGTTCTTTTATTTAAGAAATAATATCTGTGTCAGCTGTGTTAATTGGCTTTTTAAAGCTGCATTTCATAAATTTCATAAAAACAGAAATAGCAACATTTCATTTATGAATTGGGTTTCATATGGACTCCGGATCTTATGTTGGTGTGCAGACAACCAAAATGAGTTTCATAAGCAAAAAATCTGCAACCTCATTGTGGCGAAATCGGAAGTACAATTTCTGTTTGCATGAGAAACTCCGCCTTCGGATCATCTTTATATCAATATTAAATCAACAAATGTCACAGTTCAGAACTGTTCACTATTTAGGGGGATGGGGTTAGAGTCCCGGTCATGCTGCACATTTTTTAACCCTGTGACATTTGGCGCCCAACGGGGGACCATGACTGGATATAGCTCAGAGTTTAGTTCACATTGCTCTGTAACTCATATCACGGTTCAGAACTGTTCACTATTTAGGGAAGAAGATGTGTAAGCGGCCGGATAGCTCAGTCGGTAGAGCCACGGTACGGTATTCCGAGGGTCCGGGGTACAAGTCCCGGTCAGGCTGCACATGTTTCTCACCCTGTGACACAAACATGGCTTTGAGAAGCAGAACTAATTTAACTGTATATTTCCACATTGTAACGGATATATCATACATTTATGAGATGATTACTTTTTTACTTTTTTCTGAATGGCATGCCTATGCACCCTGAAGCTAAATCGGTTTAAGTGTGTTTGCACAAGAAAATCACTTATTTGCTGTGGCTCGGATAGCAACTTTTTGTAAGAAACTCGGTAGGTTAAGGGTGAAAGAAGTTAAAATAAACGGACTTGGCAAATAGTTTGTGCTTGAGAATTTTCAAGTTGTTGGCAGTATTTCAACTTTTGAATTTTTCAAGTGAAATAAAGTATGAATAAAGTACAGATGTACTTGGTTTACTGAGTAAAAGAAATTTTCAACTTTAATAATTGTCATGTTATAATTTTACTTTCAGTTGAACGGATGTTATTGTAAGAAAATAGATTAGTTTTAGATGTAAATTTGTAGATATGACACCTTATACTACTAGTATTTAAAATGTTATTGTGAAGAATTTCATTTACTTTAAATTTTTATCCAAATTTTTTAAAGGTAGAGTGTTATATATCATACATCATATTTATAACCTACAACATCGTAAGATTGTAACACGATACCATAGATCCTGTTCTATTTTTTTCGCCATTTAAAAACTGAATAATGCTCTGCATTCCACTGCATTCATCTATATTTACGGCAGCTCTCAATTTAAAATTTTAATATGCAAATAGCATGAAAAAGTGTAAGAAATAAATTAATTCAAAAGTGCTTCATCATTATATGATGTGCTGCAAATACTTAGTAAATTCATGCTGTAACAAAGACATGTAACTTCAAATGGTTGATATAAGATAAGAGACTGAAATTGTATGCCCTCGTTTGAAAAACAGGACTGTAACAGGGATCAACCCTGGTAGGCTAGTGGGCACTATCACCGTTATTCAGAGGTCAATGGTCAGATACAAATATGCAAATTTATGCATGGACAATTTAGCCATCTAGAATTGAGGGTTTATATAAAAAATGTTCACAGCTTAATCCAAGTCAATATATGCATGGTCAAGGTCACCCAATATGATGAAATGTCCCGATCATTTCTTCTTCATACATAAATGGATTTTTGTATAACTTGATACAAATATACACCGCCATTAGAAGCTGTGTTGCGAGTATAAATAAGATCTCTATGTCAAAGGTCAAGGTCACACTTAGAAGTCAGAAATGGCCACCACAGGCTAATCAGTTTTAAGGTATGACCATCAGAGGATGCTTTAGAAGATACAGTAAGAGTAATTTCTTCTAACTATGGCTCTGTTTATCCTTTAAAGACACAGGACCCTTAAGATAATCAGATCTGTTTGAGATTAGATAATGTGTAAATTTGAAGTGAATTTATAGATCAATGATAATGTAAGGCTACACTACAGACAGAAGAGACTCCATTCTGTCCTAGGTTTAGAGTAAGCTATTAGGACAAAGATTAGCCTGTCTTGGCCATTTCTATAGAAACTATTTTAAGTGTTTAATATTGAGAAATATTTCAGACCATATACATTCCTGGAGACAATGATATTGGCGGTGAGGGGAGAGATTTTCAAACTCAACGAAAAATTGAGAGATATGAACAACACTTTGGAAACATGACAGAAATAATCAAGTTTGGATTCATTGATTATGTCAAAGTAAGGCTGTTTAAATGTGAGATAAGATACTAAAAAGCGTTTTATTTTAAATTTAAACATTATGTGTGGTGATAATATATATTTCCTACAAATATATGGCTTTGAAGCAGTTTTAAGTCAGACTTTTTCAAAGATGTTGTCTTTGAAAGACCTTTTGAATGAACATATTTTACAAGTTATGCATAAACATGATTGATATATGACATACTGGAAAGGAATACATATTTTAGGAGATGATCTACTGAGACATGATCTACTGTTACTTAACTTATTTCTTATTTTGATTAATAAAACAAGTTTGATTTTAAATCATAAACACACTTTATGATGAGGTATATAAAGTTATAAATTTACGATGTTTTTTAGATACATATTCAGTCACATGCTCTAACAGAGGACAAAGTGGCTGCTGCTGAAAGGTTGAGACACAAACAAACATCTAAATATACCTTACTTCTCAATCATCAAACATTCATGATGGGACCAAAACATTTTGTCTATCCAGTAAGTTATTAAGTTTCCTGATATTTGAACAGTTAAATTATGGTAATATCTCTATCAAGATATACAGTCTCACTATACAGACATTCAGATATCTTCATTATGATCATATATCCCTGTCAGTGTGGATATATAGACACTAGTCCGACATTAATTATGAAACAGAATTTGACACCGGCTGTCATCACGGATGGGAAATATCTAGCTCTCAGGCATCTGTTTATCAGAAACTCAGTAGGGTCTCATTACAGCCATAAACAGTGACCCTCAAGCTAGATATTCCGGTCTGTACCAGCAGCAGTGTAAGATCCTTGTATCAGCAACTAATACTCATTTTAACAGGTTAGGGGAAAACTTTTTACAGGCAGCTTTGTTACTTTCAAGTTTATATTGATGGCTCAGTGCAATACTGATCTAACTGCTATTTTTGAAAATGTTCAGGAGAGACAAAAAACTGATTTTATTCAAAAATACTTATATTAGAAAATATTTTTTTGCTATGTTAACATTAATTATAATAAGAAATAATGCCATTTATATAATTTTTTATTAAAGTGTTACAAATTGTGTATTTTAGAGTTAGACCTTTATTGCGCTGAAATTCTGAGCGCAATACAAGACTAACTTGAGTTAGACTCAAATTCCCTCTTGCAATTTGGTAAAAGTGGTACAAATATTTGAGTTAGACCTGTTTTATGTTAAATATTCTGATATAAATTTGAACAAAATTGTTTTGTTAATTTAAACATTGTTTAAAATATTTTGCAAGTCTGTAGAAGAACTTTACAAAGACTAAATCCTTTAATATTTTTCTATTAATATATCATGCTAGCTGACTTTAGATGAAAGTACACTTCTATAATTCTTCTTTTTCAATTTGTTTGAGATTCAGATTTACTTAAGATCTTTTGCAGATTATCTGTGCAATAAATTTGAATTCTAAACAAAATGCAAACAGTTTTGATTCATATAGTGTTATGAACAGTAGTCATGAACAATGATGACTGACAATCCAGGTTCATCAAAGTTTGAAAACAGAGATTAATGTACATTTTCTATAACTCACATTTGTACAAAGAAGAAACATTTTATTTTCTCAATGCACACCATTACCACCATTGGTGCTTAAATGCTGTGATTCTAATATTACTGTTATGCGCTAAATCTTAATGAATTTAATGTATGTGGTCCTCTTTTCTAATGATATTATCATTTATAAATATCAAATATTTTCAAAAATGAAAGCCGCTGTTATATTTTGTATTTACTTTCTCAACCGTTTAGAGTATATTTTGAACGTGAAATGTGCAAATTTTATGACATGTTTTGCTGAAAACTGTGCATATCTTAAGAAAAGTGTTTCATTTTATATATCAAAGTCATTTTACCTCTAAATTTTGACCATATAACGAGGTTGTCAAACATATTTTAGAGAGCAGTACAACCCACTATCAGGGATTCATAGAACAAAGTATTTTTAGCACAATATGGTGTATACAAGTATATGAGTTCACAAATGTTAAATGTATGATTATAGCAGATAGCATGACTGTTTGATTTAGTCATGTGGCTTGCCAAACATTGGTAATTAGTTGGTAAATTTGAAAATTAGATTTTTTTTTATTGGCTGACTTCTTATGATACCATAATATTTTTTTTTATTGATTACAGATAATAAAAAGACTACATCCTAAGCTGATTTTATCTGCACATTGGCATAAGGTAAGCAGTGTAAACTAATATGATGATATATGTAAGATATACCACTAATGTAATGTTATAAAACTCGGTGGTGGCGTGGGTGATGGTGTTGGTAGTTTACACTCCAGATCATGGCAGTAAGTCACTTTGAGGTCACTAGAGCACAGTTCAGCCTCGCATCATTCCTGGGCAGGCTGTTAAGGAGTTTACCAGTACTGCTTGCTATCACTTTCACAAGGAACTAATAACTTCTGTACATACCAGAGCAGATGTACAGTGTGGAAGACAGTAGAAAGAAAAAATCAATGACAATCAAAGTGACCAGCACTGTAGGGTATTGAACCTGGGTCGCCTGATTCACAGTCCAACCCTCTATCTATTGAGATGTCCGGAAGGTTATTTATAAACTAGCTCTGTTATTTTGATAGTAAATGATTAACTCATCTTAACATTGTGTAACAGAGAACAGTTATCATCCTGAGAGTGCCTAACCATTTCAGTTTGTTTTAAACTTTAAACTCCTTCCCTTTCATTGCTTTATGTTAAGATCTAAAAAGAAGAAATCTGAGGTATCTTTCAGATTCTTGATACTAAGTGAATATTTTGATTCTTTTTAAATGCTTCAAATAAAGCATGGAGAAATACTTTTGGTTGATGCAAAGCAATAAAATTGGACACATGTCAAAATGACTAAAAGCAAACAAGTTGTAGAAATGTTTCTTAAGACAGTCTGGCACAATATATGTAATATTACATACTCAATAATTGATTTGTATGATATGATAAACTTACACTTCTGTAAGTAAACCATCAGTAGATTGTTTGATATTTTCCGGTTATTAAAGATGGATTAAACATGGCAGAATTTAAAGTTCTACTCAGCAGCCCACTTGTGCCTTAAACACTGCACTTGAGGTCTGTGCCATAACCAGCTGCTAAGTCATCTTATGACATTTACAATGAAAATGTGACTTCAGATCTACCAAACACATCTAAAAAAAGTAAACTTTGACAGCAAGTTGATTTAGTGAAATATATGATCAATATATGTACTAGAATATTTACTGTATATTTCAGGCAGAGATGTATACATGTTTAGATTGTTTAAGAGATGATGAGTATAGCTGGACAGTGTCCCGGCAAGATGTCTCGTTTATTAATACATTCCTTGATTTAGATCTAAGCTCCCAACATTCCATGTTTGAACTTGCAGCACCAACATGTAGTTATAGAATGGGTGTGGTAAATATAGGCTACATGGTGGTCATCCTAGGTCAGTATATATGTAGATATAGATTAGGTGTGATAAAATATGGATATTACTATCTCAGTTTCTACTGTAGTGCAACTTTAATCTAAGGGAAACAACTTTTGCTTGCATTGTCATGATTTTGTATTAATCATTTTGATTTGGCAGATACTTTTCAATTAGCTAATTAGCAATAACCAGCTTAATTTACACATTAACAACATTTTTTGTAATGTTAACGCTTGTTTGTACAAGGCATCACATCAGAATATATGCACAGTCAGTCATGCTGTATTTTCCCTTTTATTTTGTAACAGGCAAGAATCTTATTTCACCGAATATGTATTTGATATATTACATGTACTGTTTTTTTTGTATTGTAGGTGAGAATGGGAGTTTACAGTTTACTGTGTTGTGGTTGCCAAGGAGATATACCATGTTGCTAGGATACGTTGTTACCCTGCTTGTATTTCTCATTGCTTTCTGTATGAACAAATGTGGAACCAGACGAAGATAGCAATTAAAGAAACAAGATTAAGTTCTTAATTAAGCAAACAAGTACAATACATAAACTTCAGACTGATATTATTATCTGTAACTTACTCATACAAGATTTAATCATCAAAATAGGTGGGTTTTTTTGTTGCAACAGTGATTGTTAGCATACAGTACATAATCATACACAGCTCATATACCTCATTCTTTGAACAAATATTTTTTTACTTTTCTTTAGTTTTTGTAGGGAACCAATTTTTAGCTCACCTGTCATTTTGTGACAGGGTGAGCTTTTGTGATCACTTTTCTTCTGGCGTCCGTCCGTCGTCCGTCCGTCGTCCGTAAACTTTTACTTTAAATGACATCTCCTCATAAACCACTGAGCCAATTTCATCCAAACTTCACAGGATTGTTCCTTTGGTGGTCACCTTTGAAAATTGTTCAAAGAATTTAATTCCATGCAGAACTCTGGTTGCCATGGCAACCAAAAAAAACAAACTTTAAATTTCTTCTTCTAAAAAACCCAAAGAGCTAGAGCTTAGATATTTGGCATGAAACATCTTCTAGTGAGTGTCTACCAAGTTTGTTCAAATAAAAGCCCTGGGGTCAAAATTGGCCCCGCCCCAGGGGGTCATTGATTTTTCCTATAGGCATATAGTAAAAACTTAAAAATCTTCTTTTAAAGAACCCAAAGAGCTAGAGCTAAGATATTTAGGATGAAACATGTTCTAATGGATGTCTACCAAGTTTGTTCAAATAAGAGCCCTTGGGTCAAAATTGGCCCCGCCCCAGGGAGGTCATTGATTTTCCCTATATGCATATAGCAAAAAACTTAAAAATCTTCTTTTAAAGAACCCAAAGAGCTAGAGCTAAGATATTTAGGATGAAACATGTTCTAATGGATGTCTACCAAGTTTGTTCAAATAAGAGCCCTTGGGTCAAAATTGGCCCCGCCCCAGGGAGGTCATTGATTTTCCCTATATGAATATAGCAAAAAACTTAAAAATCTTCTTTTAAAGAACCCAAAGAGCTAGAACTAAGACATTTAGGATGAAACATGTTCTAATGGATGTCTACCAAGTTTGTTCAAATAAGAGCCTTTGGGTCAAAATTGGCCCCGCCCCAGGGGACATTGATTTTCCTTATATGTGTATAGCAAAAACTTAAAAATCTTCTTCGAAAAAACCCGAATAGCTAGAGTTTAGATATTAAGCATGAAACATCTTCTAGTAAGTGTCTACAAAGATTGTTCAAATAAAAGCCCTGGGGTCAAAACTGGCCCTGCCCCAGGGGTGTAGTTGCTTTTAAATATATGTGTAAAGAAAAAACTTAAAAAATCTTCTTTTAAAAAACCCAAACAGCTAGGCCTTAGATGTTTGGCATGAAACATCTTCTAATGGTTGTCTACCAAGTTTGTTCAATATATATACAGGTGAACGACTTCAGGGCCATCATGGCCCTCTTGTATATAATTATTTTTATATATGTTGATTTTTGTTATAAACAGAATACAATTTATTAGTTTTCAATCAATAAGTAAACAAAGTGTACAAACATAACTTGTGAGGAAAGGTTTTACATAATACTTTATGTAAACAGACTTTGGCAGAATATACATGCTTATGAAAAAGAAACATTTGGTTCATGTGTGCTCTTTTTAGACTGATCTATTTCTGTGAAAAAATTTCCAAAGGCATTTTGTTTATTTTGATATACTGTTTCTGTCACTTTTCTGTGAAATTGAAATATGTAAATGTTTTCCATTATATATTTATTTGTATGATGTAAAGACAGAATTTAGAATCTAGTAAAGAATAATTTTAATCAGTACTAAGATAAAGATTTTTTTTTTGAGTAGGCACAAGTACGATGTTTACTTGCAATATGCACAACTTAGGATACAAGTATTTTAAATGGTGTTTCTGTATTCACATTTGGAAGTTTTTATTTATTTTTATTATTTCTTTATATCAAATTTGAACCTGATCTTATGATGTCACTTTATAACCAATTTAATTCTTAATTTTCTTTTGATTGGTTTATTAACAAAAACAAATACAAGGAAAGGAAACACAAACATATTATTCTTTTGCTCTGACTTAAATTATCATACGGTTTTATGCCATAATACATACATGTATATCACATAACCTTTTTATGTAATTTTTAATAAAACAAAAGAATTTGGATGGAATTGTACTTAAACATGAAGATAATTATTTGATTAAAAGGAAATAAGTTAAAGAATAACATGTACAACATTAAACTTTAATGCATGTCTTATAATTATGTAAGATGTTTATTTGAATAACAATCAATTTGTTGTTAAATTCTAAGACCATTTCATTTAATCAGTTGCTCTTTTTCCTTTTTTTTTTTTGACAATCTGTGTGTGTTCATTTTTTTTTGAGCAAGCAGAATTGGTTAATCTATAAATATTGTTATATTATATTCCATGACAAGCTATACATGTACATTATATTGTACAAATGGGTAATATCATGACTGTTCTGTTCTTTTTTTTTTTGCTTGCCTGTTTCGGAACAAACATTTTATGTTGCCAATAATTCTACCATTTTAAAAGTAATCAACATGAAACTTGGAATACTTGCTTATCTTGACAGTATTAGACAAGGGGCTTAATTCTGAAAGCTATATTTTTTAGTTATGTCCTTTTTTAACATAGAATTTTTAGCAAAAGTTGTTATATTAACAGACAAGCCTTAACACTATATGCCATGCTCATGTGGTCAATTTAAAACAGCAAACGTTTATTTAAACTGTTTTGCAAGCTGAGTGAAAATCTTTAGTAGTTTTTCCTCAACATTTTTTCCCTACAGTACACTTTTTATGTAATTAGTGAACAAAACTGTACATTTGTTTGTTATTATTTAATCATTATTTTCAATTGATTAAGGAACAAAATGTTATAACACATATTAAATATTCAGAGATTATAACCATGTCTTTTTATAACTAAATTTGTTGTGTAGGAGCTTTTATTTTCATTATATGAACTAACCATGTTGTCTTTTTGACACAAAGACTGCATGAAAGGGCATTATAACAAATCTATAAGTATTTACATATTATTGTACTTTTGAAAATGTGTATGTGTTGATATTCTTTTCTGTTGCCTTGTTTCAGAAATGAACTATATTAAGAATTGATACAGTTATATAGATGGTTGTAAATAATCCTGCAGTCAGAGTAAGGGAATGTTGTTGGGATAAAAGCTTACAGCATGAAAATAACATTTTCTGTTAAATTATCAATTTTATTGTCTTTAAACAACAATATTTTCATATAACATATTTAAGTATCTAAAGGGGGTGAAACTATATCTTATGAAATTTTTTTATAAAATTTATCAGCAGTAAATTTATATTGCTTCCCTAAATCTTATGAATGATTCTTAAAAGAGTTGTAACATAAAATTATTATACATAAACGGAATAAAATGTTCTGGAACAAAAAAATATTCTGTAATTTTACATAGAAATTTATCAGTTTAGCAATTATTTTGTGTATGCATATTACCTTTAAGGCAATTTACAACTATATTTATTTCATACAAATAGAGTGTTCTTTTTTAGATTTTATATACAATAACTTTTTCATCAGATATACATGTATAACATACTTCTATACATAATTGTTCCTTCTTACATATCATTTGAAAATTTATCTGGTTGTTCATTTTAAATTTGTTCTTTGTTTACAATTATTACATTTGATGGATTAAAGGCCCATTATGCCTTAGAAATACTATAATTTTTATATCGCAAAAATCTTTGGTATCTTGTCACAGTTAAAACAAACTTATTTGCCATATACATAAACTTTCTTCTGCTTATTGTGTTCTGTTTTCAAATGGTATATTTAGTTATCTAGTATTCTGTATGGAAGTCAAATTTTAACTGAAATGTATTGAGGTTTTAAAGTGTAGGTACCAAGGCCTGTGGGACCACGAGAAATTTCTTTAAGATAATATTGATGAAGACGTAGAAATGACAAAACTACCACATCTGCTGGGGCTTCTTTCCATTTATTGAGTTGTTTAAATACTTTGTTCATACTTTCGCTCTGTGTTTCCTTTATGTCGCAGATTTTGGATTTGTTTCAAGTCCCTTGGCTGTTCGTCGTTGTCATGAATTTCTTTCTTATAAACTAAATTTGGATCCTCCGATTTTGTTTTATTTAGCCATTTTTCTAGAATGCTTGGCTTTGATCTTAAAAAAGGGCGTTCCTGTTTTTTTTTTGAATTTCCATGGGACATCGGCTGTGAGATTTGTTCATTGCCGATGTACTGAATTACAAAAGGACCGTTAATGCATTCAGGTTCATGGTAAGCAAATTTAACAAATTCTTTTGATGCCCCATTCTCGGTATGTATATAAATTTATATTTAAATAAATAATCTAACCTAACAAAATAACAAAACCCGTGACAGTAAATTACATTTTCCGTGATGATGCCGTCACAGACGTCACGGGCGTCACGGGTTTTAGTATATCTGTGTCGAACACTAGTTTTGCATTTCTAAAAACAATAAAAAAATAGGGATTTCTGAGGCAAAATGTGTCTTTTAGTGTTTTTTATATTAGAGTGGTAAAAATATTCAGGATATTAAGGACTAGTAATTATAGCCTGTCCCATTAAAAATGGAAATGAACTTTTGCCTGGTATGAATTAACAGAACGAGGTTGAATAAAAATAAAACTATTTTTGTAAACTAAAAAAAAGTCACCCTCGAGATTTTTCAGGATTTTTCTCTAAAGTGTCTACTTTTCTTGTAAAAGCAAATTTTCATTTCTCTATGGCAAGTCTCTGTTGTTTACTTTCCGTAGCCATTGCCAAAGTACTCTTCATTTGAAGATGAACGGGAGAAAGCACGTGTCATGTTTCTAAAATGTACATGATGTTCTCGGGGTCGTTTCATGATTATTTTACAAAGCTGGATCTATAAGATGTAACAGTTTCGTTGCAATGCATGATGGAAAACTTTAAAAAATGAATAATAAGCAACAAAAACATCGAGTCATATAGAATAGATCTAGAATTTGCACTTACTTTTAAGCTGAATAGAATCCTGAATTTCGAAATAGATCTTTATAAACGTCACGACAAATTCGCATTCTGAAGATTCCTTCATTGCCCGTAGATCCCATTTTTTTACTTTGACTCCCACACTTATGATGATCCAGATTTTTTATAAACTGTTAATCCGTCTCATTATTAAAACATTGTTCCATTTGTGCAGTTATCTGGGTTAGCAAATGAAATATGTAAATGAAACACATCAAGATTCAGTATGTTCCAAATTCATAATTCAAGAACGGCCCATCAATTTTAGCTGTCAACATCACAAAGTTCATAACTCTTGAAAATGGATTCCTGACGAAATAAACATTATAATATTACGTCAACAACAATTGACGAAATATATGACGTAACAAAATGACTCGCGCTTTTTATGGACGATTCCAGTTGCGGCATTGACAGAGGGCGGTTAGGCATATGTAACCTCATACTGATAATTTTAAGCGTTGAGATAAATTTGTCTTTATGGCATTTAAAATAATTTTTGTATACCCAGATTTTGCAGTAATTGTTAAAATTACACCTTCAATTCATATATTAACAATAAAATTTTTGATAACATTTAAATGATTTTAAACACACTTAATGACATGAATCTATATGACAATACAATACTTCTTCCATTAATTCACATGTTAACCTACGTTTTGATTTTATGTTTTTAAACTATTTTATATATTTCTCAGAAATGATTTTCCTAAAGTACATATTATCTCGTTATTCAAGACTTCTGTAAATCCTACCCTTTTAGCTGCAAAATATACCATATGCGGTATTTTTTCTCCCTCGAAAAATATAGCTGTTGTTTTTTCATTGAACATTTTCAAATTTTAGGAAGGCTAAAATAATTGAGATCATCACTCTGTGTTTCTCTTTGACTCGATCTCCCCTTCATATTAACTTAGTATGTAACGCTTTGAATCTAAAAAATAAAAAAAAATAAACTTTTGTCCCTTAATGAACGCTCCAATTCAAACTTATTCTTGATAATATCAAATCACTGCCTGTATTTCTGGACATTTTGTTAAATTGTGAGACGGAATATTAAATCTGTATTTACGAGCTTAAAGTTTATAGGCCTACGTTTGGTTGCTCAAACTAGAAATCATGTTTATATTCTTATAATTTATATTTTTCCTCGTACGCGAGTCTGTGTTCTCTCATTAGCAAATGAGCTAGTTAAAGTAGACACTGTGCAAACCAATACTGAACATATAGTGAATCAATTCCCCTTTCTATATATTTCTTGTCAGATTTTCATGATAACGTAGTATTTATTGGCGATTTCTAACGTCAGGTTTCTGTTTTGAAAGTTAAAACCTACGAAAAGTTTTAGCGCACGGGCATCGCACCCGAAATAAGAAGGGTAACAAATTTTTGAATCCCATCAGTCCTGGTTAATTTAATTATTTTTAGATAGACGTGATACATACTAATGGACAGAATTCAGACAACTACAGAATTATTTAAAGTAAACATTAATAAGCGAAGAACTAGTTTTTTTAGTCTTCTAGTTAGTGTTCCCGTTCCCCTACGACGCGTTGCGGTATTCGCTTGATTGAAACGCCATCTAATCAAATCACTTCTCTTAATGATATAAAATACGACAGAATATCATGGTAATTATATAATTATATAAATCTTTGTGTGTTATAATTTAAAAAGCGGTTACTGATATTTCACTTCAAAGGATTTTAAATTGATTATTTTAAATAATGGTTTGTTATTAAAATTGCCTTTTTGACACCAACTTTGTTCTCATTTTTCATTTCAATGATAACATTTAGCTATTGATCAGTAAGTAAATAAGAATAATCAATTTTTTTATAATAACCTAGTACAGTTCACGCTAATTGTGAGACGAACCCTAAATGACGTCTGTATGGGCGCCGCCATTTTGAAATGGACGTCACGTCAGGTTACAACGTAAGTCAACGGGAAAAAATATAATTTTAACATTTTGACCATATTTCTGACTTTATGGAAAAAATGAAAAACATGCCTAGAGATATTGACGTCAGGGTTATCATGACATTAATTTAAATGATCTTACTAGTATATTAAATAAAAAATGGAATATTCAAATTTGATGGGACAGACTATAGGCTACCTAGTTATACCACAGCCTGATTGTGCTTGTTTAGACTGCCTGTAGTGAACTTATGGGAAATAACTGAATTACTCGCTCTGAATTATGAAGTTATAGTCTGTGCCATTAAAAATGGAAATGAATATTTGCCTGGTATGAATGAACAAAACGACGTTGAATAAAAAATAAAACTTTTTTGTAAACTAAAAAAAAGTCACCCTCGAGATTTTTCAGGATTTTACTCTAAAGTGTCTACTTTTCTTGTGAAAGCAAATTTTGATTTCTCTATGGTAAATCTGTCTTGTTTATTTTCCGTAGCCATTGCCGAAGTACTCTTCATTTGAAGATGAACAGGAGAAAGCACGTGTCATGTTTCTAAAATATACATGATGTTCTCGGGGTTGTTTCATGATTATTTTACAAAGCTGGATCTACAAGATGTAACAGTTTAGTTGCAATGCATGATGGAAAACTTTAAAAAATGAAAAATAAGCAACAAGAACACCGAGTCACATGGAGTAGATCTAGAAATTGCACTTACTTTTAAGCTGAACAGAATCCTTATGGACTTTATAAACGTCACGACAAATTCGCATTCTGAAGATTCCATCATTGCTAGTTTCTATCCAGTTCCGTAGATCCCACTTTTTTACTTCAAAAATCCTGAATGACATGTAATGACTCCTACATTTTTGATGACCCAGATTTTTAAACTGATAATCCGATTATCCGTCTCATTATTAAAACATTGTTCAATTTGTGGAGATATCTGGGTTAGCAAATGAAATATGTAAATGAAACACATCATAATTCAGCATGTTCCAAATCCATAATTCAAGAACGGCCCATCAATTTTAGTTGTCAACATCTATCTCTATCTCTGAGTACTGCCAACCCCTCTCGCGAGTGTTATAGGCAGGAAATTGTGCGCGTCGGGTGTGTTAGTAAAAGGTGTGAGAGAAAGTAAAAACCTGAAAATGAACATGATCAGGACAGTGAGAGACATTGAAAACTTCTAGTCATTGTTAAAATGTTTTTATTAGTAAGGGTGAAAGGAAGATTTAAAAGTAAAAACACAAAAAGTCAACTAATACTGTATCTTAACCACTGCCTGTTTGTATTTATCTAGATCAGGCAGGGTGACAATGTTCCTTGGGAGCTGGTTCC